ATCAAACATTACTTCAACATAGCTCCAGGTAAAGAAGAGAAAGGAGATGCTATATGGATAATATACTATTTCCTTTATCCATGTTTGTTTCAAATTGTTTTCTCTATAAAGCTTTAAAATCACGGAAGGTTTCAGTCTCATATTCCTTATATGCTAGTGATTTATTTGGAAATGATTTTTTAACTAATGCCTATGATAATAAAATTTTGCACCCTTGATCTTAAGAATATTATTTTTCTAGATTTGCCCTTTATTGGATTACAGTACAAGGATACTTCAAAAAATTCATGGAAAAACAGAATTGAAAGGTAATAGGAATCTTTCCACAAACTTTTTGAAGTATCACATATGTATGAGTGAAACAATATGTTTGAGGATGCTTAAAATAGCTGGTTTACTTTTGTATATATCTCTGACTCAGAGTGCCCTTTGAAGTTAAGTACATTTCAAAGGCCAAGTGGTAGTGAATTTTAAAAGCAAATGTCATATGCTTCCTTTTAGGTGTTTATTATCTCTCTGGAAAATGATTAAAATAAAACTTTGCCCCAGTTCCATAATGCTTTCCTAGTTGCCTATTTAGATATTTAACTCCAAAATGCCTTCATTAATACCTATTGAGGTGCTTGCTTACCTAACAGACTGAGGCTAAAGTTTTTTGTTGTTTTGTTGTAATGCAAGTTCTGTGGAATCTCTATTGCTTCTTTTTCTAGTCAGTTAGTATGAATTGAATTAAAGAACTATAATGTACATTATTTATGTTTTTTATGGCTGCCTAGCATATGAATTTACTGGGTAAAGGGAATTCCCTGCTATATAAGTCTGGATAGGAAGCTAAAAAGACCTGCTATTCTATTGCCACGCCTCCCTTCTAGCTAGGGTACACTCACGCGGCCTAGACTCAACTAATCATTTCCATGCCACAGACTGAATTGTGAGCTAGTAACAAGAAGTGGGGAGCATCCATTCTGGTGATATAGCAGTGACCATAGCAACGTCCAGTTTCTCGAATACACTGTAGCAGTGTATGTTTGCCCTGTCTGGCACCTGTGATAGCAGTGTAAGCTATGACGTCAGTTATTAGTAACAATGGCTGCAGTGTCTTCACTGGACTAATTCCATATGTGGTTTTTGGGGGGTCTGTAATCTTGGTTGCCTCCTGGCCTCACCTTTTTCCTGTCTGTTTTCTGACCTTAGTTTTCCTGCCTTTTCCAGTAATTCTGTGAGATACTCTGTATCAGTTACCTATTGCTACATAACAAATCTCCCCAAAATTTAGTGGCTTAAATTCATGACTGTTTTCTTTGCTCTAATTCTGTGAAT